GCAATAAGTGAACTGTGATATAGCAAGGGATGACTGTAATTTAATTTTAATTAGCAATAAAAATAATTTATTCTATATGTATCAAATGGACAAATCACAAAAGCATAATTTTGGTTGATAAAACTAAATTTTGAAAATATATGAAACAATATACTATATTGTTTTTGATATATACATATGTAGTAAAATATAAAAATGTGAACAGGAAAGTTAAAGTAATTAACTCTGTAGAGAGAAGGAAGATAATGGAAAGAGATTTTATTTTTTTGAGACAGGGTCTCGCTATGCAGTTCAGGCTGGCCTTGAGCTCACCTTGTAGCCCAGGCTGGCCTCGCGTCAGCCTCCCGAGTGCTGGATTATAGGCGTGCGCCATCACGCCCAGCTAAAAAAGGCAATTTTTAAAAATTTCAAATGCTTCTATAAAATTGTTTCCTAAAAAATAGTATTGAAGCAAATATAAAAGACAGTGGTACCTTGGTTCACAAACCTTATTCTTGCTCTGATTCTGGTCACAAACCAAACTGGAAAACAACCAAACCAAGTTCAGTGGTCAGTTTCCACATTGACTTGCTAGGAAATTTGACTCGGTTCTCATCCAATTTCGTTTTCAACCAGAATCATGGAAAGAAAAAGTTCGTGAACTGAGGCACCATGGTAATAGCTGACATTCAGTGAGTCAGTGTTTCAGGAGTGTTTGTTACAATGTTTTATTGTTTTGAATAGTTGAAATATCTCATAACATAAAGTTTTACAGAAAGGTACTAGGATAAAAGTGTCTGATTGTGTTGTCACTGAATCCTCAGATGCTGGGCATCATTCTAAATGTGTCATTTATATAATACCTTCAATCCTCATAAACCCTACAAAGGAGGTAATATTAAGATCTCAATTTTATATAGGGGCAAATGGAGGCCCAGAGAAGTGATGTGACTGCCCCAAAGCTGCACAGCAAGCGTATGGTTCTGGAGTCCGTGCTGTGCACACTCCTTTGCAGACCTTTTCCTAGGAAACCTGAAAACAACAGCCTGCAAACTTCATTCAACAAAAGCGTTAATGCTGAAACCAACAATCATGTGCTCCCAGAGAAAAAACGGTTTTATTTTCTTTCCACCTAGAATGAGAAATCAACTAAATTCAGATAAAGAAGCTATATGTGTTGTTAGAATTCAGGAAGCTGGCATCATATATAGAGTCCATAAAATATATATATATACACACATCAGCAGTTTGCTGTATTAATAAATGCCTGGAAGCTAATGGATCTTGTAATTGTAGTGGCCAAAGGTAATTTGTATTAGCCTCATAATGTCTCAATAAATTTAGTGTTAAAATATTTATACAAGTTTTTCTTTTCCTGATGTAAACATTTTTGACAGACTCTATATTATTGCAGAAGCGATATGTGCTTTCCCCCTCCACTGCATATGCTGTACAAATTTCAAGCCGCTCACCTGGCATTCTTTTCAGCATCTAAAACAGCTTGTGCCAAATCCTTGTGGGCTTTCTCTGCTTCCTTTGTTAGTTTCATATCATGTGACCGAACCAGACACAGTTCCCTGAAACAAAGCAAAGAAATTTCAGATTTATAATTGGAGACTTCTAAAAAGTTTCTATCCAGGAAATCAGATTTACACCCAGACATCTCCGTTTCCTAGTTTTTTCACTTTATAAGCCAAATTAAGAAATCTAGTGTAATTCTGGGTGGAATCTTGCCAAGTTTGGCAAAGGAATCGAGCGGGCAAGCAAAGGCAGAAGGAAGACATGGCGGGGCGTGGGCGAGAGTAGAGTGCAGGCAGGTGCTGACTGACAGGGCCCCCACATCGCTCTGCTCACTCTTGGGTCTGTTTATTCTGCCGCCCTATTCTTGCCACTAAGCATCATACCACAAAGTTAGATGATCCCTGACCCAACCTTGATTGCTATTTAATGTTTCTGCTCTTTGGAATTTGAATCTTAATATCTATAATTAGGGCACTGCTCTGTAAATCTGGTAAAGGTAAATATCTGTATCTTGGAAGAAAGAACAAGAGTTTCTTACAGGTGACATATATAGAGCTTTAGTTTTGTGATAACCTGCATAACCTATTTCTCTGCATCTATATACAATAATATGCAGTTCTTGGGGCTGGGGATTTAGCTCAGCGGCACAGCGCCTGCCTGGCAAGCACAAGGTCGTGAGTTCAATTCCTGGTACCGGAAGAAAAACCAAAACAAACAAACAAACAAAAAATAATATCCAGTTCTTGTAGCTCTCTTGCTAAACATGAAGAGAAGACAAAAGAGTCTTCACACCTAACCATTCCACTTTTCATTAATATTTTTTACTCTCTTTAAAGACATGACTCTGAATGTTGTGTTCAGGATAATCACAGTTTTTACCTGGTCAATTCCTCAATAACACTCTTGAAATTATACAATTCTTCTAAAATGCGCTGATCCATCACTCGCTGAGTTACCAGGTCTTTATAGAATTCAATCATCTGCCTGGCAATTTGGTCAAGCATTTGCACATACCGCTCTCTGTAAGAGAAACAAGGGAAACAAGACACCATGATAAAGCGGGGAAGGGGAGTCAAAAAACAAGTGAAAGAGAAAGTAACATTAGGGCAAGAGTACACACATTCATATTTTCTTCCTCTCATTCATATTTCTCTCCATTCATATTCTCACTTGCCTCCCTCGCTCCCCTCCTGCCCTCTTCTCAGATGCCATGAGGTAAGTAGCTTTCCTTCACCACTTTCTTCTGCCTAACCACAGGCCCGAAAACAAAAGATCCAGCAGACCTTGGACAGAAATCATGAGGCAGAATGGACTTTTCTTCCTTTAAATTGTTTTCCTCAGATATTTTGTCACAGTAACAGAAAGCTGACTAACACATATCCTGAGCCTAAAGTCCTATAATTGTAATATCTTTGAGCTGGACTGGTTGTTTAGTCCATTCTCTCATCCACTGACAGGATCATCCTGTCCTTACTTAAACACTTGAAGTGGTAGGGAGTTTTATTAGCTCAATTTGCAGTTTATACACTGGAAAAAATATTATTTTCTTTTAGGTACTAGGAACTGAACCCAGAGTGTTCTTGCTGAGCTACATTCCCAACCTATTTTTTATTTTTGATTTTGAAACAAGATCTCATTAAGTTGCCAAATTGTCTGGGTTGGGCTTGAACTTGTGAGCCTCCAGCCCCAGCCTCCCAGAGTAATAAGACTACTGGCAGGTGACATCCAGGGAAAGTAGCAATGTAAAGCATACTTTCTTGAGGACCTCTTCTCCTGGTAATACAGAGACTAGATACTCTAATGATTAGGGGCCCTCACATTCCAAGACTACTAGATCCTGCATTAAAATACAACTATATTTGTATGAGAGTATATTTTTCAAAGCATTACTGGCCTTGCAGAAGAAAAAAAGTACTGTATCTAGAGATGGAAAACAAAAAGAACAAACAAACAAGAAACAGCAAGCAAGGCTATTAAGTGGGAGCTGTTAGTAGTATTCAGTAAGCAAACCCAAGGTCAAACTTATCCCAGGAAAATATCAACTCTGGGATACTGAGACTAAGCTTTGGGCCCTCTTTAAAATGGAAGACCTGGGCAATCCAGGACTCCTGCATGAAGCCTGGATCCCTGAAGAAAACTACAGGAATCAGGTGTGATTGTGTGTGCCTGTAATCCCAGCACTCAGGAGCCTGAGGTACAAGGATTACCATGAGTTCAAGGCCAGCCTGGCCTACACAGTGAGACCCTGTCTCAAAAAACAAAAACAAAATAAAGAAACAAAACAGAAGGAAACTACCCATTATTTATGGCTGAGGGTTCTACAGTTAAGTTCATTCAAATACTAACCCCATAGCAAAGACTGTAAAATATTACTGTGAATAAAGCATCATGAATGAGACGCAGAAGAAACAACCAATAACAGATGTGGATACTAAGGGTTTTTATACGCTAAAATTATCGGAATTAAAACATAAAACTATGCATAAAATGTTGGCAAAATAAATGTCAATAACAAAAATCCAGTTGTTAGGATCAGTAACACTGGCAAAAGTTTAGCTAGGTTCCTTGGGAAAATGAAACAAGAACAAAGACACTGTCAATATTAGGAGTGAAACAGCAGAGATCATAACAGATTCTAGCAATAATAATAATATAATAAAAGAATATTATGAATAGCTCTCCATCAACAAATTCAATAACTTAGATTAAATGGACAAATTCCTGGAAAGATGCAGGAAAACTCAATAAACTATCAAAACTCAATCAAAAATGTGAAGATAACCTATACATATGGTACCTATCCAAGAAAGTGAATTATAATTTTAAAACTTTCCCATAAAGGAAACTCTGGACCCAGGTAACAAAAGAATAATGGGGTGGCAAGGGTTTTTAGATATGCTACAAAAAGCACAGGCATAAACAACAAAAACCCAAAAAATTGGATTCATGAGACTCTAAATTTTTTGTACATCAAAGAGCAACATTCAGTAACAACTACTCAGAAAGTGAGATAGAGTATTTTCAAACTATGTCTCTGATAAGAGACTTGTGCTCAGGATACATAAAAAACACAACTCAACAATAAAAAAAAAAGATTATCAATTTAAAAGCAGATGAAAGGACCAGGCGTGATGGCACACACCAGTAAACCAAGCTACTCTGGAGGCTGAGGGCAGGAGTCTCCCCAAGTTCAAGGCCAGCCTGGGCAACCTAGTGAGACTCGGTCTTAAAATCTTAAAAAGGGTTGGGGGTGCACCTCAGCGGTACGGTGGTTGCCTAGCATTTGTGAGGCCCTGAGTTTGACCCCCAGTTCTACTAAAAAAAGTGAGTGAAAGATATTTCTCCAAGAAAAAAAATAACAACAGTCAGTAAGCACATAAAAAGATGTTCAATATCATCAGTCATTAAAATAATGAAAACCAAAACTACAGTGAATTACTACTTTACATCTATTAACATCAAAAAGATGAATAATAAGAACAAGTGAGGATATGGAGAAAGGCTGGAGAATTAAATGTAAATTGATATAGCCCCTATGGAAAACAGTTTAGCAGTTCTTCAAAAAGTTAAACATAGAGTTACTATACAACACAGCCATTCCACTCCAGGTAAACACCAAAAAGAATGGAAAACATGCTCACACAAAAATTAAATGCAAATGTTCATAGAAATATTATCCATAAAAACCAAAAAAATGCCAATAGCACAAACCAATGTATAAACAACATTTTGCACAGCCATTCAATGGAATATTACTTGACCTTAAACAGGAATGAAGCACTGACATGTGATATAACGTGGATTTTTTTTCTTTTTGAGTCAGAGTCTTGCTATATAGTGCAGGCTGGCCTTAAACTCACTATGTAGCCCAGGCTAACCTGGAACTCACCATGATCCTCCTACCTCAGCCTCCCGAGTGCTGGGATTATAGGTGTGTACCACCATGCCAGGCAGAATATGGATTTTGAAAGCATTATTCTAGACATATTATATAATTCCCTTTATATGAAATGTCCAAGCGCTGGGAATATAGCTCAGCGGCACAGTGCCTGCCTGGCAAGCATAAGGTCCTGAGTTCAATTCCTGGTACCAAAAAAAAAAAAAAGAAAAGAAAGAAAGAAATGTCCAGAAGAGGCATATTCAGATGGAAAGTACATAGTGTTCTCTAGAGACTAAGAGAAAGGAGAACGGAGAATGATTACTCATGGACACAAAATTTCTTTTGGAGATGATGAATATATTTTGGAATTTGATAGTAACGATGGTTGCATAACTTTATGAAAATATAAACTGGGTGTGGTGGTACACGCCTGCAATCCCAACACTCACAGGAGGCTGAGGCAGGAGGATCATTGAGAGTTCGAGGCCAGCCTGGGCTACAAAGTGAGTTCAAGGCCAGCCTGAACTGCATAGTGAGACCTTGCCTCAAAAAAAAAAAAAGAAAAGAAAAAGAAAAGAAAAGAAAAGAAAAGAAAAGAAAAGAAAAGAAAATATACTAAGCACCACAGAATTATTTATTTTTTAAAAAAAATTTACAGTAGTTTAGTTAAATCTCAGTGAAAGAATAAAGTTGTTCACAAATAATTGTTTTATAATTGTACTTCCTCATTTACACTGCATGTATTCCTTTAATATAAAATTTCAGATAATAAAAAATTTAAGCATCTTTATACTAAGTATAACCTGCCTGGCAATAACTTACCCATTAATCCTAATTTTATACTCTGAAAACACTCAAAATAAATCCATTTTTTAAACTTTGTATCTCCCTAAATTCTATCTTATGTCTTTTCTTATGTAGACCTAACATCAGCAGTTCTTTCAGGTTGTTTTAGTGAGATGTACGACACATGGGAAGTACGCTTTAATGTTGTTTTTTGTGCCCAGAACATGAATTCCACAAAGTAACAGTCAGAAAGGGTTTTAATTTTTAAAAGTCAGTTGAGAAACAAACAAACAAACAGCAAACAACAACAACAAACACCCAGCCTTTACCAGGTATGTAGCTCAGCGGTAGAGCCCTGGCCTCATGTGTGAGTCCCTGGGTTCAGCCCCTAGCAGAGCAGGAAAGCAAGTGGACAAAAAACACAGGAAAGAGCCAGTCTGAAAAGACTCTATCCGTGCAAATCTTAATGTAAACCTTGGACAGTAGTTAATAGTAATGTATTAGTCTAGCGTTTTTAACTGTAGTACATATGCTAGTCTAAGACATTAGTAAGGAAGAAAAGAGTATGGAGGAAGGCGGTGTGGGAGAACTCCACCGTCCGGTCAGTTCTGTTCTAAAAGAAACCTATCGATTGTTTTAAGAGTTTGGTGAGCCCATTTCTTAAAAATGAATAGGCAAATAACAGACTGGGAGGAAAGGTTAACTATAAATTTTAAAATAAAATATATGTACATAAATACAAAATAAATTTTGTACATTATATAAAACTATACAAAAACTAGTTCCAGGATTATAAAATTATA